CCCCTCCCTCAGGATTACGTTCTGAGGCACAAATATGTCGAGAATTACAAACTTGGTTCAGCTGGGTCACCAACGTCGAGCTGGTTGTCCAAGAACATGTCTGGATGATCCGATGGAGGCAGAAAGCGAAGAACAAAGAATGCGGTACGACCATCGACGTGTGTTCATGATGCACTTGTGACAAGCTGATCAATGGACTACTCTGTAAAATATTTATTTGTAATAATTTAATTAGGGAAGATGAACTTCGCCACGTCATCTGGTCCTCGCAACTATTTAAAAACTAAACAGTGTTCCAGACTATGGCCAGACAGTGTTCATTAAGTGGGAAGAATTCACCCACCACTGAGATTATGCTAATGATGTTTGAGAAGATGAGTATCCTTCGATAACTCTAAATCTATTTCATTCTAACTGTCACACTGGAATTTCTCAGTAACCATGCATTCTATGAAGTGTGGCTGAACTCCTATCTCCCTTTACTTTGAACCGTAGAACTTTCGAGAAACAGCGACAAGTCAGCTACATAGATTTGCACGGCGTAGTCGCACCACATCTTAGTTTCAGCAGCCGGGGGGGGGCATTTGAAGCAGGCCACGGCTTCACAGAATTTTAATGTAACATTGCACGACTGTGCTGGGTCAAACAACCAGATGCTCAGACACCAACTGGCATGTCATTATTCAAAGGAATATAAATAGATAAACATATTCGAAGTAAATCTTGGAAAAGAAGGTGAGCAACAGATCACGCCCTTGGCTACATCTACTCCATTTATAAACATAACTGTAATCTATGCAAAATTTTGCGTTACTTCATGCAGGGTTTTCAACTGGATGATTTTTTCAGCATCATGTTTATGGAATGTTTACTGACTGATTCATCAATCAGGAATGTGATGGTCTTTCGCATTGAATGCTTCGTGTACAGACTGACCTGCAATTTACGTTTGCGACAAAAATCAAAAATTGCGAATGGGCCATTACGCTTTCTTTCTGTCTGCACATGTTCACCAGCGGCAACACAGAGTTAGCAGTCATTTTTGGAAATGAGGAAATAAAACATTTCTTTACGTTAGCAGATGAATGGTGAGTCACGAGGCGCTGCAAAAGGCAAAGTGACTTCAATTCGGCCAACTTCAATATTCATGCACCATAACTTAGCAAGGGTTCATTTATTGTGACTAGTGTGAGGCAGTAGTCTTGCATAATCAATGAAATCTGGCGATACAATTTACTGATAATAGCACAAAACGCGGATTATATAGATTTGTAATCCAGACAATTGGATGATTGACTCATACGGACATTTTGACTCGTGTCTCAAGGGCTGTTCTCAAGGTAGAAACGTGAATCTGCTTCGAAAGTTCCTTTTGTGGTCCATAGCGGTTTGTATTTTGGAACCAGAAGGAGAGTTTCTGGTCGGTGTTGCTATTCAAGTAGTTTCTTCGCGACAGAGGCGAAAGGATCATCCAATCCGCAAAGAGTTTGTATCCTTTGTTACTGGTGACGTTGTCGCAAGAGTGAATGATTGATGACTCATTTACATACCTGTCCAGTCAATGTCTTTCTCTGATGATGCCAGTACACTCTAAATTTCAGGGGGACGTGTCCTTCCTGTGTCTTGTACAACAAATCCCGGAGGTCTTCTCGTATTGTTCTTTGACTTCGTTTGGCAAGAGACCACGTTTTCTTCTTGGCATCTTTGTTACCGGGTGTCGTGAACGTAAAGAATCATTCGTTTTCTCCAGCTTAACTAATGGTTTTTTTGTCTTCTGAATAACGGGGTTCCCTGTTTTTCCTATTTAATATTTCCCGCAATTACATGATAACTTCTACATGTAGCCTAGAGAATTCTTATTCTCAAAATTCCTTAGTAAACGTTAAGTTTGCTGAAGCTTTTATAGATAATGTTAATATTATATTTAGCATTAGGCCACGAATAAAACGTTAGATTGACTAAATTGTGGCTGCTGTGCATGAATCAGCCGGGTTTTGTGCTATTCTCAATACAGCAATCAACGCATGAACAAAATACTCAGTGCAGTTTGCAGCACGGCTACTAGTGAAAGCACGTAAGGCTCTTTTCAGAGGCTTATGCACAGACTGATGAGTGCAGCCCTGTTCGTTCTGCTCAGAAATGTGACCTCTTCGTTGGCGCTCAGAAGGTTAGTGACCATATGAAGATGATCATGCATAAGCTGAAAAGAAGTGAGGAACTTCTGCTTTATACGGCTGCACACTACACGTAACCTTGAGCTGAAACTCTTCATAGGAAACCCGGTCATTTGTCAACCTCCTTCGCATGAGATGAGACTTAATCTGAGGGCATACAGCCCAGTTCACTGAGGTCAGTTCACTCAACTGCCATTAACTGCCCTACTCATAATGACCAGAGGTGCCTGGAACTTCAGCACCTCCATTCATGCCTTGACTACTCTGCAATGTGCGTAATGAACACATTTCACGGTCCTTTGACAGTCCCTCCTTGTTTATACGCCATGGCCTTGTGAGCAACAGCCGGAGCTCACTGCCTTTGTGGTGACTTCCTTGATGTTCCAGAGCTTCTTTCTGTCTATGGACCAGATTTTATTGTCCCAGTCTTTTCTGAATCATTTCGCTGAGCAGCAGAATAAAACAACCGCATTGTTTACTTAGTGCATTTATTTCGAATTCGTTTCAATCCTTCCATAGTTTTACCTATGCCAGTTGGCTCCAAGCTATGCGAGTTTCCTGTTCAGCCTTGCATAAATCTGGTCTTTTGGTTATCAACCTTTCAACCCAGATCTATCATACACATGTTTGCCTTAAAAGAGTTGAAAGATGTGGCAGTTTCACTGCCAGCGTCAGATTTTAACAGAAACTTCTACGGCTGGTTTGTCTCATAAGAATGGCCTACTGAAATTTGCCCTTATCCGCCAGTTAAGAATTGGACTCATAGACAAAAGACTGGATTTGAAAACGCAAATCTGAACGAGTCCGTATCAACCTGATTGCAGTTGATTAAACCGGAATTTTTGAGCCACCTGCTAAAAATCTTGAGGTCAAAATGAACACATGCCCCCTGTGCAATAATCGTATAATTTATAGTATGCTTCTGGCTGCGGCAGCAGACCAACAGTGGAACGAAGCATCATGGAAAACCTTGTCTCGGTTACAGAACACATGAAGGCATATCGCCAATTTTAGGCTGCGATTTCCATCTGCTGTTGAGGATCAGTGTCACAGAGAAACTTAAAAGCTACTGGCTGTGTAACAGCCGATATTTCTGTCAGTCGGAGGAATTACCTCAAGTTAGCCATGGCGGAGGACAAGGTCAAAATCGAATAATTTCGGCAGCGATTACAGAAGCTTATCAACTTGTTATCCATCAGCCGGTAGTGAT